GTCACATAGCTAGTGAACTTACCGACGTGTCTGACTTGCTAGGCACGCGTATCTGACTAGTCAGTAAGTCGGTAAATTCACCGGTCTATGTGACCCAGCGATTCATTGCTGTTGACTGTACATGCATGGAGGCAATATGTTCCGCCCCTCCCCCCTACGGGGAGGCTCCCCGTGGTTTCATACTAACCTAACCCACACTATTTCTTAGTGTGGGGTGAACCTCGCTTCGCGTAAAAAATTGTAAACCCATGTGGGATCTCGACTTTGCCCACACAAAATTGGGCCATGTCCGCTAATAAAATCATTTTAGCAGCTTTGCCCAATCGTGTTGGGCAATGTTGACACGGCCCGAGCAATGCCGACTCTGCACACCCTGCGGACTTTGCCCGTAATATATATATAAAAAATATCTATTTATATGTATTTTAATATTTTAATATATTAATAAATTAAATACATATAATTAATATGTATTTAATTTAATTATATATATTGTAAAATTTTAATATATTAAATTAATTATATGTATATCTTTTTGATTCAGTTAAATTTTAAATATCAAAATAAAAAATCGAAGAATATTCTATATTTCATCTTGTATATTGTGTAAAGTAATGCAAATTCAAATAACACAAACTTAATTTAGTAACAAAAATAAATAATAAATTACCTCGAGGTCGCTTCGCCGTCGCTCGTCATTCCGCTCCGCACCTTCTCCACCTCTCAGACTTCCTCGTCATCGACGCTCACACGACACTCGCGAGAAAAAAACGCGGTTAATTACGATCGCGTAGCAGTTATCGGAATCGTTGATCGCGCTCTGAACGACACTTTTGACATTAATCGCACGACAAGGTCGACAAGACGAAGCGCGCAGATTAACAAGGTTAGGGAGGCGCCACTGCCGCTTCCCGCTAAAATTACAATCTATTATATGGGAATGCGCATCGCCATTTTGACTCCTGGTAACTGCACTTTTCAGCTTCTGGTAACTGCACTTTTCAAAACCATTCTGCACTGACTAGGAGTCAAAATGGCGATGCGCATTCGCATATAATATAGTACCCTATCTGAGCGAGTCACATATTCGCGAATTGCGACTCGCCGCGAAATACACTCGTCCCTTCGTGCTGGCGTTCAACTTGGATCTCGATCGAATGGACGCGGTCACGAAAAGCGCGACGAATCACCAACACACGTAGAACTTATACTACGTTACGCGAACGACATACACCGAACCACGGGTTGAATCGCAAGAATGCATATTTAAACGCGCCACTTGCTTAAGATTAGTCCGCGTCCTCCGAGAGTTCCAGTAATGGTGTTTTCGTAAAACAAAGCGAGACGGTCAATTCGTGCACGTCTTAGGGGGCGAGATCCCCACTTTAATGAGTTCGTCGTAGCTGAATGTCGAAGAGCTTCTTTAAATCCTCCTTGTGCATGGTATCTAGTCCGGAACGGATAACTACCATAAGAATTTCTTGAACAGCTTAAGATGCACACACACACACACACACACACAATGGCGGCAACCGGCGTAATTTGCGCGGGAAACTGTCGGGCGGCTTAAACGACGGCAACAGATGATATGATACCCGGCCGAACCGCGTGACGAACTCGGCACACTCGCGAACCAAGAAAACGTTGCAGGGAACGCAATAAGAAATCAGTAAAACCGACGACAGCGGAAAAATCGACCGAAACACAACCGAAAGACCGGCGACTACAATGGCGGACCGTGCGATCTGCAAGTAATGTCGTACACGTGGCAGCCGTGTGTCGATCCAAATAACAGAATAATGAAGAAAAAAGCGGCAGTGGTATCTTCTTTTCGTATCTTTGTTTGATTTAAGCAAATGAGATTTCTTGTATATCCCTTATCTCGGTTCTACCGGTTCTCGGAATATCACTACGCATTATTAGATACCATTCTCAGTAACGGAATTTCAAGAGTATTGCTGTTGCTGTTGGTTTCACGTAGTACAGCTTCTGGAGTCCCACGGAATGTGGCAAAAGAAGTTGGAGACGAGAGCGAATTTATTTTCACATTCCTCTCTTTTCACTTTTCACTTTATTTTTACAGAGGATTGAGATCGTATCCGACGCTCGTCCGATCCGTACCGTTTCACTGTTTCACGACCAAGAGCGGAATCCGGATCCTTCCCTTGGGACTCCGGTTCCTACTCTCCCCACTCCTCCTTCAGGAGTTCGACAAGGCGCATTTCTAAGAGTTCCTGCACACTGGACGCGGAAATGCTTGCCGCGCAGCAAAATGCGACATGATAGCCAATTCTGCTTTTTTTTGGTACTAGCGCGAATTCTGATTGGTTTCTGCTTATCTGTTTTCCGCTTTTCTGTCAAGATGTGGATTCTCCCCTTAGAACATATATTACTAGAAGGAGAATTGCGAAAGCGTGAGCGCTATAAGCGTATAAGCGTTCAAAAGGAACGGTGGCCGTTGTGTTGTCGGAACGCACCTAACCAAAATTTGTATGGACAACTACATAATCTATGCAATTTAGATAAAAGTATTGCGCTATATAGTATATAATCTTGTGAAAAGATTGAAGGCACTATAATTCACCAGCCGGTGGAGCAAAAGGGGAGGAAAAATAGATAAAAGTATATCCAGATAAACTAATTAATTGAGATCGGAA